GAATTATGGCCCTGATTCAGCTAAGCATACGTGCTTAAATGCATCCTTATTCAGTAAAGTACTTAAGCACATGCTTGCTTAAAGATAAGCATGTGTTCAAGTGCTCTGCTGAATTGGGACCTAAATGGTAAGTGATACCCTAATGAAAAGAGAGCCTCCTCTTCTACTTCATGTGTGTCACCTTCCATTTCCCAAGGTCTTGGCATAAACGTGAGCTTCCATTTGTGCTGGTTAAAAAAACAAGTCCCCTCACTCAAAATTTCTTGTTTATGTTTTGCAGCCATTTTGGTGTGCACTAGCTTAGTACAATGGGCTTACCCTAGCAGCCCACTAGGAATACACAGAGACCAGCGCGATTTTTAGAACTTGCCTTAACTTACCACAGTACAGTCCTGTGATTGCTCTGCCAGCTATAATAAGGATGTGAGATGGGCCAAATTTTGCCAGCCCCATGAGGAGATTTCCAATGATAGAAAGAAAATTCACGGCCAGCATGGCTTTCACTCTGCAATTAATTAAGAAGAAAACTACATTGTGATAGTAAAACCAGCACTGAATTCAATTACACTTTAGATATTCTGGAGTTCCAGGGGTGGTCCCATGCTCTTTGCATAGGCCTTATTAATTGTTATTATGCATTTCTGGATAAAAATTCAAGTAAGGTCACTATATCTTCCACCTAAAAGTGGCAATTCTTCAACAAAAAAACTTCAAAAACAGACTCCAACGTGAAACTGCAGAACTGGAATTAATTTGCAAACTGGACACCATCAGATTAGGCCTGAATAAAGACCGGGAGTGGTTGGGTCATTACAAAACCTAAACCTAATTTCCCCAATACTAATTTCTCCCTACTGTTACTCACATCTTCTTGTCAACTGTTTGAAATGGGCTACTCTCATTACCACTTCAAAAGTTAATTTTCCTTCCTTGGTATCCTGCTGTCAAATGAATTGTCTCATTAGACTGACCTCACACTTGGTAAGGCAACTCCCATTCTTTCCTGTATTTATACCTGCTCCTGTATTTTCCACTCCATTCATCTGATGAAGTGGGTTCTAGCCCACGAAAGCTTATGCCCAAATACATTTGTTAGTCTCTAAGGTGCCACAAGGACTCCTCGTTGTTTTTAATAATAAAAAAGACCATTCAAATTACCATATGGACCAAAACTGGCCCAATTCTGAGAGCTACTGAGCACTCTGTGTGGCATGCTGAGTGCTCAGGGAGTTAAAGGCACTGGAGTTACTCCATATTTATATTGGTGTAACTGAGAACAGAATCTTGCTTTACATTCTTAATCAATGTCTTGTTTACCAGGAGTACTGCACGCTTCTGAATGGCATCAGGGCCTGCTGATGTCTATGGTACCTGAGGCACAAAGCACTGCACACAATCTGAACTCAAAGCAGCAAGCCACCATCACAAGGGAAGGACTGGCCCATTGTTTTGCCATTTACTTGATTTAATTCTGGATTAACTTCCCTGCTATTCACATGATTTGCTGTCTGTCAAACTACTTTGCAAGGATGCTGCATGTCTGTTTCCAAGGCCCCTAAATGAAGACATACACCTATCTTTTAGGCATTATAATACAAATTTAGACCAACTGTCAGTGAGTTAATCAAAGCTAAAGGATAAAGAATAATGATTGTGCATATTGAAAAATGTATGGCAGAGGTAGCATCAGAATAACTGAATGGCTAATGAGTTATAATATACATCCTGTACACGTTCTTTTCACATATACTGTAGTCTCTTTTGTTATGCAGAAAAAAAGGCTAGAATTAAAACTTAATAAAGGCTGTTCACCTCTTTATTTTCTGAAGTGATAAAAGCTACAGGTAACAATAAAAAAAATCAGCTTCATAATTCAGGATTTTAATAAACCAGATTTTTCCATTTTACAGTTTCAGGGGCCGTGTTTTGAAGGGTTCATTATTTTTTTCAAGCTGGAAAAAATAATAGAGAACCAATTTCAGGAGAGGTTGTCTCCATGTGAAAATTCAAATCCAGGGTCTTAAGGTTTAATCACTGGAAATGAATGGGAAAGGATTTTGGCACTGAGTGCAGTAATACAATTTGGACACCAAAGTCTGATTTTAGTTCAGGATTAGGCTACCGGTTTGTGGAAAGTCATAATCATCAGATAAGATATTGGGCCAGATCCTTGGCCCTAGGTCTGGCTGCTTCGTGCTGTTCTGGCCGCTCATAGCCAGTGAAGATGGCTTTCTGACTGCAATCTGAGGATTACCTCGGCCATCTCAGCTGGCTCCCATCTCCTTTCCTACTCAGTGTTTTCTGGCCATTTGTCAATTTACAGAGATAGAGTGTTTCTCACCTGCCTAGCTTGTCTCCAACCCATCCAACGGTGAAAGAGGAAATCATTCCACCAATGGCAAAAATGGACACAGACAGGGACCAGTACAGAGTGAGTGTACTTTTGCCTACATCCAATTCTTCTAGATCTGGGAAGATCATGCTTCCATTCGTGTCTGTGAAATTGATGGCACTTCTGTCAATAGGGGCAATGCCCAGCACACGGCTGTAATGGGCCTCTATTACCTGCAGTGAGAAAGGAATGCATCAGTTCTTCTGCTTCTAACTAGCTAGGAAGCCTTCATTTTCTAATAAGGGTTTTTCTACTTTGCAGCCCATAAAACCCAGTGTCACAGGGTAACTGGTCCCTGTGGGCAGACTAAGGCCAGCGCCCCCTGGACCAGAGAAGGTGAGCGCAATCCAGCTAATTAAAGTGGGCTGGGCTACAGCTGAGCCTACAAACGCCTGTGTTCTGGGGCGGGAAAGCCACCCTGCAGCAGAGCTAACTCCTGTGCTGGGTCCCTGGAACAAGGGGCCAGGACAGCAGTGGGCAAACTTTTTGGCCCGAGGGCCACAGCTGGGTATGGAAATTGTATGGTGGGCCATGAATGCTCATGAAATTGGGGTTGGGGTACAGGAGAGGGTGCGGGCTCTGGGGTGGGACTAGAAATGAGGAGTTCAGGGTGCGGGAGGGGACTCTGGGCTGAAGCAGGGGGAGTGGGGTGTGTGTGTGTGTGGGGGGGGTTGGGTGAGGGTTCCCGCTTGGGTTGTGGGCTCTGGGGTGGGGCAGGGGATGAGGGGTTTGGAGTGCAGGAGGGTGCTCTGGGCTGGGACTGAGGGATTCGGAGGGTGGGCGGGAGCAGGGGGTTGGGGCACAGGGGGTGAGGGTGGCTCGGAGGTGCAGGCTCTGGGCGGCGCTTACCTCAAGCGGCTCCCGGAAGCAGCGGATGTCCCCCCTCCGGATCGTATGTGGGGGGCGGCCAGGCGGCTCTGCTGCGCTCTGCCCCGTCCGCAGGCACCGCCCCTGCAACTCCCATTGGCCGTGGTTCCCAGCCAATGGGAGTTGTGGAGGCGGCACTTGGGGTGGGGGCAACGTGCGGAGCAGAGCCCCCTGGCTGCGCCTACGCACAGAAGCCAGAGGGGGACATGCCGCTGCTTCCAGGAGCCGTGTGGAACAGCCCCCGACCCTGCTCCCCGGCTGGAGCACCGGACCGGGGCAAGCTCCAGACCCTGCTCCCCGGTGAGAGCTCGAAGGCTGCATTAAAATGGCTGGCAGGCCAGATCCAGCCCGTGGGCCATAGTTTGCTCACCCTTGGTCTAGGGGCTCAGGGAAGCAGCCCTGCAGCTGCCGCACCAGAAAGGGAGTTGAGTCAACTGATGCTAGGTAGCTGCCAAGAACTGAAGTGCCAGAGATCCCTGGAAGGGGTCACCGTGGGGCTGAGGGCAGAATTAAGACTGTTTTCTGTTTGTCTGATAACCTCTGTTAAAGAAATAACCCCCCTTGCCTGAGCCTGGGAGTGGCAGCACATGCTTTGGAGCTGGGGAGAAGCCCAGCTCAGTGACAACCTGGCTCTGTACACGTTATGGGTGAAATCCTGGCCCTGCTGAAGTCAATGGAAGCTCTGTCATTGACATCAATGGGGTCAGGATTGCAACCTATGAACACAAATATACCAGTTTGTGACACTGATGTGACCAGTTTGGGGAAAACAGGGCTGTGTTCACACTGAAGCTTTATTTTACAACAGAACCACGCGTCATTCATGTTTGCATGTCCACACCTATCAGGCTACCTGACTGTGTTAGTTTCAGTGCATGCTGGGAAAATCTGGGCAGTTATCTCATAAAGCCTGGGCAGGGGGCAGACTGCTGGGAGGACACAGGACACAGCTAGAGGGTGGCGGGGACATCCAGGGTGTGAACTTAGAAACTCACTTGCAGCTGTCTCAGGGATTATTCAGTTACTACAGTCCTATTCTTCAGCAGGTTATTGACCAGATTTCAGACTCGCATTGTATGCTTTGCTAGCACTTATAGCAGTGGCCCCCAATGCGGTGTCCACGGGCGCCATGGCGCCCGCCGGGGCATTTATGTGCGCCCGCCTAGTGCCCAGCAGGGGAGAGAAGCCGCGGCCCCGCGCCTGCCGGGGACAGAGAACTCAGGCTGCGGGCGCGGTGTTCTCTGTTCCCGGCAGGCACGGGGCCCGCCTAGTGCCCAGCAAGGGAGAGAAGCTGCGGCCTCACGCCTGCCGGGGACAGAGAACTCTGGGGCTGCAGGCTGCGGGCGCCGGTGTTCTCGGTCCCTGGCAGGCGCGGGGCCGCGGCTTCTCTCCGGCTTCTCTCTTCTCTCTGGATTCATATATTATGTAATATTAAATATGATGTTTTTCGTATTATTTAATGTACAAATACAAAATAAGCCTTGAAAAATTGTTGGCGCCCGCCACACTCTTCTGAGAACATGAATGTGCTACTGGCCACAAAAAGGTTGGGGACCACTGACTTATAGTATCTGACCAACAACTTCAAATCCTTTATACTGTCTGTATGGAAACGATGGTAATGAAAGCAATGACAAGTTCATCTTAATGGCACATGCTTCTGTTAATTTATTGGTTATTATAGATGAAGTCTTTGGGGCAGAGACTCTGTTTTCCTATGTATTTGTACAGCACCTAGCACAATCCTGATTGGGGCCCTGGGGCACTAACACCATATAAATAATAGTATAGCAATGAAGCAGGGCTTATAAGTGCTGCTGCAAGTCACAGCCTGTTTTGAAAGGAATCCTATATGCTGTACTTGCCATTTGAGGAGCGTTGATGACACCAAGGCTGTATCCATACTGGAAGAAGCCCAGCACTGCGGTGAAGACAGAGAGAACCAAGGTTCCTGTGAGGTTCTAGGAGAGGATTGTGAAACAGAAAATGGTGTCACTTTTCTATTTCCCAGGCTGCACATTTCTGCCATATAAACCTTGAACACATTGGGACGGATTCTGCTGTCATTGAAATCAGGGGGGTTTCGTGAGTTTAAGTGGGAGCAGAATTTGGCCCATTCTGTCTGCACTGTCCTGGCAGTGCAAAGCAGCATAACTAGCTGGGGGAGGATTTCTTCAGTGAGTGTAAAGCTGTTCCAGTAACTTCTTCAGGCTCCCAGTCTTGGCCTTCTTGGTGTAAGGGCATGTCTAGGAGAAAGGGAGTGTGTCCAGTTTCTGATGATTCCCAGGTGCCAGAATGATCCCATGGGGTCATAGGTATCTGGGAGTAGGGAAGAGCATTCCTGAGGCTTCTTCAACTTGTGCCAGACTGATTGCCTGCCAGTCCCAGTTTCATAATGCAGACAGAAAGCCAGTGGAAGGGGCATAAGGGGGGCATATTGAGGGTATGCTGAGAGGAAGGCCTGTGGTCAGCTGTAACAGCTTTTGGAGGGTCCTTCCAGTCAGGTGTAGCTTAGAGCAACCCTGAGGTTGCTCTAAGTTGCACCTGAGACCAAAACAGCCCCCAGCTGGCCTCAGGATCGGGGGATAGAAAGGTGGCCCACCTGCACCACATGTAATTAAGGATTTAGCCTGAAGATTTTATGCCTTTTACCATGATGACTGAATGGCACATTGTATATAAGAGGAGGTCTCTTGAAAGGAATTCATTAAGGCAAGATCCGGTGAGCACTCACCACTCTCATTGACATCAACTATATCATTAAATGCAGTTCATCTCATGATCAAGTCTAAAATATGCTGTCTTAATTCCTGGTGCCTTTCCCCAGATCTCTTCCAGGGCCTGCCTTACAACTTAGAGCAGTGGTTCTCAACCTGTGGTCCGCAGACTATGTCTAAGGAGTCTGCAAAAGACTTCGACTGAAAGACTTTGACTGAACAGAATTCATCTATCCATACAAACAACAGATTTCTACAGGGGTCTGCACCTCCATTCAACATTTTTTAGGAGTCCGCAATGGTTGAGAACCACTGACTTAGAGGACCCTGATCTGTTGGACACAGGAGCGCCGCCAGCTTTTTTGCTGCCCTAGGTGGCGAAAGGTCCCTCCTCCGAAATGCCGCCCCCGACAGAGGCGGCGGAAGGTCCCGCCCCTGAAATACCGCCGACGACTGGGGCGGCCGAAGATCCGGCCGCTGCGGTCGCCGCCCCCCAAATGTTAGCGCCCTAGGCGACCACCTAGGTCGCCTAATGGGTTGCGCTGGCCCTGGTTGGACAGGCAAGCTCAGACAGTGCGTTGCCTTTCAATCGTATCCCACGACCACATGGAGAAATATGGGTAGTTGGCTGCTCCCCCAGTCCCTCTGTTGGAAGGGAAAGGTGGCCTGATCTGTAAGTCACTCAGTATATGTAGAAGCCTCAAAAGCATGGTGCCCCAAGGAGTCGCTTGTATTGATTGTGTAGACGACTGGCCTGATAGTTATTTCCCATCTTCAGCATGAAATCCCCTAGGAATAGGAGCTTAAGGGTGGGAAAAGAGCTACTGATACACCTGCCAATAACTGGTTCAGCATGGGAAATAGGGACTCTGCCGACTCTACAGACACGTCGAAAGAGGAGATTGTAAAAGCAGCAATAATAGTGATCCCTGGGGATGACGTTTTCTAGCTATGGCAGGACGTGGGCAGGGAGATCGGAACATCCAGGGGGTTTGCAAGGAGGGGAAGTCTTGCTGCTTCCCCTGCAAATCAAATTCCTTAGTCTGACCTGATCCTGCTGCCATTGAGATCAGTGGGAAAATTCCCTCCCGACACACACACTATTATGCTGAGCACCCTCAACACCATTGAAATCAGTGAGTGCTGAGGACATGCCACATCATGCAGGATTGAGTGCTAGAAGAGGTAGTTCTTGGTGGAGATCCCATGAGCTAGTGAGTGCCTCTTGGGAGGTGCTGAGAACCCTTGATGCCCATTAACTCCTTTTGGGAGTTGAAGGCAGACAGTATCTTTGAGGATGCTCCCTACATTGCAGGACTGGGCCCTACAAGCAGAACTGCACATTGTGGGGCGTAAAGCAATTGGGATTTTCATTCTGCTCCCCAGTGTGAGCAGAGACTGGCCACAAACAGACTCTCACTAAACAGATTCCTCTGCACACCTAAAGAAATACTCCTAAGGAGCAGTAATTCAAGTGCTTCTTTAATAAGTTTAAGATTTAGTATATAAAGTTTTAAAAAGCATACGTTCAATATGATGGGCTCAGATCCTCAGTCTTTACTCAAACTTAAATCCTACTGAAGTCAGCTGCAGTATCAATTATGCAAAAATTGACCCAAAAAGGCACATTTTAGCAAAACATTTGGCTAACAGAAATGATCCTTTAAAAAAATTCTAAGCAGGTCCTAAACCTGGACAATTTCTTGCTATGGGCAATCAATAGCTCCCCAACTATTTGGTATGCATTCCCCATTAAGCAGCCTGACACAGACACTGCAGTAAAATACCACTGAGTCAGTTTTACCTTTTCTTCTTGCATTTTACTAGTCTTCTCCATTCTGTTGGTCTTGCAGAGGATTGTCTGGGTGCAGTCCTTTCCCAAGCCTTGAGACTCTTCCAGACACTGGCAGAGTACTTATATCTCAGGTGTAGGAGGAGGAGCACTTGAAAGGAGACACAGAGGGGAGGGTTGGGGGAAATGACTTGCAGTCAGGAAGATGGGATTAATCAACATGAATGTTAATGAAAAACCCAAAATTTAGCAGCACTTCAACACCATTTAGCTCGGAACAATAGTAAAGGATAGAGCGATTTGGAGAACAAATCAACAATTTGGAAACACAGAAAGGGATCAGAAGATATGGTGAAATTTAAAATGCCACATTGGGAAGTCATGACTTCTCAATTTTCTATCGGTCCAGCTTCATGAAGGGTAAAAAACAATAGACAGCGTCTGCAATAATGAGAAATTGTGTTGTATTGTTCAGCAGCAAAAGTATAGGATGCCTGAACTGCTTCAGTATATGTTTACAGTACATGCTGTTCAGTTCTAGCAAGATCGATAGAGCCATGATCACCTTCCTTGGCTTCAGTGCAGGATTTGTGTATTGAATTATAATGCTTCCTTTTGCCTGTCACAGAATTTCAATAGGGAGATTGGAAAAAAAATCTTTCTAGCAGATATAATAAAAAGAGATGGCTCACAAAATGAACGGAGAGGTCACAGTAATTAACTCTTAATCGGCATAAAACTTGCTTTAAAAGATATCTGTGTGTACATTGGCACTATGGTAATACAAATACATAATAATACATACACCCTCACCGAAAGAGATCTATTTACTTATCTGTACACATGCTCACAAATACATATCTATACAAATAAATAATAATTTACCATAATGTACTAACCTTTTTTTTTTAACATATTATAAATACACAAAATTACCCTTAATGTTTTCACAATCATTCTTCATTTTAAAAAATCTTATACCCAGCCTTTCAATCACAGTTCAACAGTTCATGGTTTCTTGTTCATTAATACCATTTAACCTTTGGCTCAGGTGACTAATCAATAATGATGAGCTTTGTACTAGATCATTAGTTTGGTCTTGGCTGCTAGTTCATGAGCTAATGTCCCTGCTGGGCTAAATGAGCTAAACTGGTGCTCCTTAGTCTTAGCGATTGGTGACATCTTGAGCAATAAAAAAACCACACAATAACTCTGGCATCTGCAGCAGAGCGGCCAGAGGCAATTGAGTAATACTTTTACTCCAAAAGGGAATCCGTATTGGTCAGAACTGAGGAATTTCACATGGCTGCAGCCTACGTTCTATCTGTCCTTTGGACAGAGGACCTAAGATTCCAATGTAGTCAGTCAGGCACCTTTCACATGGGCATAAAATGTACTTTGTAAAGAAGAAAAAAGAAATCTTTGCACTGGGTGCATGTGCAAGTAAAACTTTAACTTAAGGAGAAAAGTTCAGTCCGTTAATCTATTCCAATTGATTTTTGAGCTGTCAGAGGTTCAGCCACAAGAACTGCAGGTACTGAAGTGTGTTTATTTTTGAAGTAGGGAGGGAGTCTAGTCTGAACCTTTTGAAGTTTCCCCCATATTTGTAGCTTTTATTCGTTATTTTTGACCATATCCCTCCTTCTTTCCATCAGTGTGTGCTTGGAAAGTGTGGATTTTACAAACACCATTTTTTAATATTGTATTCAGACACTAGGCAGAGCAAAATACAATACCTACATATAGGTTGGTTGACAGGACAAGGGAAGTAACAGCTTTTCAAGTGTGGGTTGGATTCAACAGTGAGTAGAGATGGGCCCAAACCAATCTAAATAATCCTGAATATTGTGAAAATCTGAGGCTTCAACACATCTCTCATTTAGACATGTTTCTCGTTGGGATTTTTTGCCTAATGTATTATTGATCAGTAGATATTAGAGACATAGGCTAGGACTTGGGTAGAGACAGATGAATCATAGCAGATTTCAGCGGGAGTTTGCAGTTGCTCAGTATTTCCGAGGATTTGGCTCCTTGCATATAACAAATTGGTTTTTGATAATTCTTCATATAAAATGCTAAAAGGCACACAGAGTAATAGCACAGCACGAAGGGGCATGTCTACACTTACCTCTGGAGCGATCGATCCAGCAGGGGTTGATTTATAGTGTCTAGTGAAGACGCGATAAATCGACCGCCGAGCACTCTCCCGTCGACTCTGGTACTCCATTGGCGCGAGAAGCATATGCGGAGTTGACGGGGGAGCGCCAGCAGTCGACCTACCATAATGAAGACAACCCCAGTAAGTAGATCTAAGTACGTTGACTTCAGCTTCGCTATTCATGTAGCTGAAGTTGTGTAACTTAGATCGACCTCCCCCCCAATGTAGACCAGGCCGACTGTGCTGAAGTGAAGATGTACTTCTGGACTTGTGTGAGAAGTAAGAAGGTAGAACTCTATTCCTGGTTATACATTCACAGTGCCAAGAAAGAGCAAGGAGTACACTGCTCATGTCATCTCCCTGTTTCAAAGTCAGAAGTGGTGTGTAAGTGAGTCTAAGGCTTTGTCCACACCTATGGCTTGTATCATTGTAGTTTACTTACCAACTTGGTTCATTTACAATTTAGTTTACATACCAAATTAAACTAAATTGATTTAAGTACTTTTAAAATTGATTTAACAGAGATCACAGAGTTTTGCACTGATTTAACTAAATCAGGTTTAAAACATACTTTAGTTAAATGGGTTCAAGTTTATGTGTAGACAAGACCTAAGTGGGGATGAATAGATGTAAATTGATAAACATTACATGCTGAGGAACTAGAATTCATTTAGGCCCCAGTTCAGCCATCCAGCCCTACTCAGCAAAGTACATCATCACATGCGCATGTTCCGTTGACTTCAGTGGAACTTGAGCATGTGCTTAAAGTTAAGCATGTGCTTAGGTGCTGTGCTGGATAGAGATAGACTTAAGCATGTGCATAAATGCTTTGCTGAATTGGGGCCTTAGAGTCTCCTGAGCCACCTTAGATATCACCTCTGAATTTGGCTCTTCTATGGGAAAAATTCTCCAAGTGACAAGATTTCATTAAAAAAAAGAAAGCTTGCTGGCGCATGTGCCTTGTATGAATGAAAGAAAACAGAACTAGTGCTCACAGCAGGAGATAAACTGCAGCTGCCCACCAGCATAAAGTAAGTGCTGTAGCACCCTTAGGAAAACAGAACAGTTTGCCAAGGAGCTGGTCTGGGCTTCCACATTCTTCAAATAAGTCCCAATCATTTTTAAATAAAGAAAGCTATTGTATGCATGTGAGTGAGTGAGAGCTACAAAAGCTTCTGACCCAGTCCCTGGTCCTGAATGACTCAATCCATCTTCAGACTTCAGCTGACCTCCTGGTTATCCTCTTTTTGTCTGAGCATCATCTGAGTGCGTACCAGTCTTTTGTGGCAGGTACACAAGATCTTCCCAATCACATTGTATTCATTCTTACATGCATCAGGACAATCAAGGAGATTCCATTTGGCTTGGAATTTGGCTAGATTGGACAACAGAGTTTAGATGGTGGGTGTTTACTGACCAGATTGATCGTTTAGTCACGAATGGCTTGTCTACACTTACTGGAGGGTCCGGCGGCAGGCAATCGGTTTTCTGGGATCGACTTATCGCGTCTAGTGAAGACGCGATAAAATCGATCCCTGATCACTCTGACGTCGACTCCGGAAAGCCACCGCGGCAAGAGGCGGCAGCGGAGTCGACGGCAGCGCGGCAGCGGTCGACTTTCCCCCGTCCTCACAGCCAGGTAAGTCGACCTAAAATACGCAACTTCAGCTACGGTATTCACGTAGCTGAAGTTGAGTATCTTAGGTCGGACCCCCGCTGTAGTGTAGACCTAGCCTGACAGACACCTGAAGTCAGGCTCTTTTCACAGGAAAAGTGGATGCTAGGGGCCCAATCCAGCAAGCTCACCATAGGCCCAATGGAACGCTCATAGAAGTCAATGGAAAGACTCCCATTGACTTCAGTAGGCTTTGTTATCAGACCCCATGTGCAGAATTCCCACTGACTTCCATGACAGCACCATGTGTGGAGGGACTGCAGGATCAGAATCTTAGCTAAGTGAATCTCAAACTGTATCCATGGGCAATGCATAGGAAATTAACCTAATGGACCATTAGTAATCTCTGTGTTGTTTCAACAAATGCCAGGGAAGCACATTTATCACACAGTAAATCAAACCATGCTTTAATGCAGAGGCTTGGTGTTCACCACACCTCTGCTGCAGACATACTCATATTTACAGTTTAAACAATAGAGAGAAAAGCTGCTGCCAGTGTTATTAAGAATGGGGAGCTGCAACAGGCTGACAGAGGAACCACACAAAGCATATGCACGGCAAATTCTGCTCTCCTTTATGGAGTCAATGGGACAACCGTTGCACCCATGTAACTCCGAGCTAGGGTGACCAGATGTCCCGATTTTATAGGGACAGTCCCGATTTTTGGGTCTTTTTCTTACATAGGCTCCTATTACCCCCCACCCCCGGTCCCGATTTTTCACATTTGCTGTCTGGTCACCCTACTCCGAGCAGAATCTGGCCCATAATAAATAGCTGGTCAACAACAACATTTTAAAATTTAGGGCAAGACTTTTTGAGTCATCCCAAGTTCTGCCCGTGCGCCAAGAGGGAAGCCACCAGCCCATGCCAAAAGCAGATTATTGTACCTCCCATGGATCTCAGCTGTGCTGGTCTGCATGTTGGAGGGGGAGGAGCCCAGGGTCCACCTCTCTTTGCTCACTCCCTACTGACCCCTGACCTGCGTAGGTGATAGCTGCCCTGTGGAGCCTGCTTTCACTCCACTTCCTCCCCCTCAGGCCAGCAATGCAGGGAAGTCGTAAGGGGAAATCTTAATGTGCTCCTTAATTCCTATGTGGCCACATATGGTAAGTCACAATCTTGTCTTTAGGAAATAGGGGAAAATTCTCCTCTGTTACATCATTGTAAATCCAGAGAAACTTCCCTGAGCTCATTGGATTTCAACTGGTATCACCGAGAGCAGCATTTGGTCACAACTACCTGGCTATAGAATACAATACTTGTATCATTCATTTCTCCCTCATGCTCTGACTCTCTGTCATATCTGAATCCTGAAACCTGTGGTTTAATGTGAAAGAACATGGCAGTTCAAACTGTCAGCTTCTGAGGATGATCTGTCATCAGTTATTTCAGCTCCTGCGGCTCTAAAAAGGGGAGCAAAACATACACTTTGAACAAAAAGCCTCAGTAAAGAAAGGCATTTCTTAAGCAGATATTCCAACGCCTCAGTTTGACCCTCCAGGACCAGGAGAACATATTACTGACACAGGTGACACGGAGAAATGGCTCATTGTATAGCTCAACATGGCTAGCACTCTGGTTCAGGAAAGCACTTACACACATGCATAAATCCCATAAAATGGATTCAATGGAATTTAAGCACAAGCTTAAGTACTTTCCTGAACTGGGGTCTAGATTTATCACTCTCAGTCTCCCCTTTGCTGGTTCAGAGAAATTGATTTAAAGCTTGCCAGTAGACTGATGTTATTGGGAAGGTTAGAGGGCTAATGCTGGAAGATAATTCTCCCTCCCTGAATGATGGCTGTTAAGGACAAGGAACAGCATGTCAGGGAAACTTTGCTCAGCCTTCGCCGGCATACGTTACGATAACAAGAGTCACCAAGAGTCGCCAATTTAATCTGTCCCTTATTATCATCTATCATACTTATATAGCCCCCATTGCCATAGCAACGGAGCGCCTCCAAA